CCATTACCTTATCCGTAGAGCAAAACTAATCTGTCATGATAATTTAACGCAATTATAATTCGTATTAATGAAAGTTTGATAATACATTTTCCACATAATATCCAGGCCGTGTTTATTTAGGCCATTAACGCAGAATGCTATTCTAACGGCCCAGCTTTGTATATATGTACAGCTGCTACAAAGATTATCGAACAAACATCCGTATTAATAGATGCGATTAGTTAAATTAGTGTATAGCACCATGAAAACATTGATTTGACATATTTAATATTTTTTTTACATTCGATGTTACCAATTATAATTTTTAATACATCGTTTTGTTCGACCCCGTAACAATATGAGAAACCCGGTAGGCGATTTATAGATTTAGACTGATATATAGATTAAGAGCGTTGGACATTCCGAACAGGTTTTAAACAGATACCTGCACTTCGCTTTGCCGGAGTTGTTATTGATAACTCGTTTGTATTGATATAGTGCAGATATTTGCCGTTGTATTGTGGAACTTGCCTTGTTATAGGCAGATATTTATGACCAAAATCTGACCAAAGTATAATAGTCCAGTAGAAATTGACGAGAACCGATACATTTTCTATAACAAACATATTTTTTGTTTATTCTCTATATGTTGATGCTCTATAACCGTAAAAAAAATCAACCCGAATCAACCTTGGGGAAAGTTGTTTTTTAAGCACGTAAAAATCCAATTTTTGGTCAAAGGTGTAAAAAACACAATTTTGAGACTCAAAACTACAAATCTCATTGGTATCCATTATTATGATATATCAAATTAAAGGTTACATACATACTAAATGTTATCACACTGTTACCATGGAAACAAATAGTGATTTTACTTATTATTTATATATTTATTAAAAAACACAATTTTCACATTGTTTCAAGCACGACAACATTTGTTTTGTTTCTATTGATAATCTAAAGAGTAACAACAGTTAGTTTGGTATATATATATATATTGATGTCACAGAAATGTACACAACAATCAATCAAGGTAACTTTGGGAAACTGATGCTTTCTCGTGTATAAACAATGCACAAAATGTAGTATAGTGCACGTTTAGGTTTTTATTCATCTAATAATGTGCATGTGACATGTCATTCGAAAGATAATGAACTCAACAACATATGTGTTCACTTGAGTACTTTAGTCGCACATTTTGTAAAAGAAAATAACCTAATTTAATGACTACACAATTCCGAACATTTTCTGTACTGCAAAACAATGGAAAAATACAAACGCGATATCGGCTGTGCGTCGTCGTCGTCGTCGTCGTCATCATCATCATCATCATCATCATCATCATCATCATCATCTTCAAAGGGACATTTATTCGTAAAATGTACTAAATTACAAGTAAATATTTACAAAGTATAAAGTGATAAATGTACAAATATAAACAAACGAGTAAAACTGAAAATCATTATGTACAAGCAGTGATTACGTGTACGGGCGGGGAGGGCAAAGAGTAACGAGTAAAAAAAACAATAAAGTCGAAATGTATAGGAACGATGGCGTGTTCGCGTGGGGGGGGGGGTTAAAATCGAAAAAAAGGTGACTTGTATTTGT